AGGACCACTCCAAGGTCGACTACAGGCGAAACGCCTTTTAGCTTGGTGTATGGGATTGAGGCACTTCTGCCAGTTGAGTTAGAGCTACAATCCCAACGATCGAGCACTTATAACCAGGAGCAGAATGAGGAACTCATGCTGACCGCCTTAGACACTATTGAAGAACTCAGAGAGCAAGCCTCGACCAGGGTTGAGGCATACAAACAACGGATGAGGGCAGCACATGACCGAAAAGTGAAGATCCGCCGATTCCAGGTGGGAGACCTGGTGTGGAAGAGAGTAGATGTGCTCAAACATGTGGGAAAGTTAGAACCCAATTGGGAAGGGTCGTACTTGGTCGAAAAGGTTCATGCAGGAGGGGCATACTCCCTGAAGGACGCTGAAGGAAGGTCACTGGCTAGGTCGTTGAATGTAGCTAATCTTAAATAATATTATGTGTAAAATTTTTCTGAATTCGAGCAGCTGAATCGTTGTAATCCTCTTACGGGAAGTTGTCGAAATGGTCGATTTCTATATGGAAATGTCTCTGCCAGCGTTATTAACTTGTTGTAAATATGTTCGTTTGGCGCATTCAGCGACACTACATACTTTCCCCTTAAAGACCAAAGTCCTTCGTTTATGGAACACCCCGATCAAGGGGTGGGCGAAGGTCGCTTGTTTTCGGTACACTCTAAGGGGTGGGCATGTGGTCGACAATGTCCACGCCTCCAGGCTGGACGACCACAATGTTTTCGGAACATCCCTTAGGGTTGGCAAGTGACAAGACCAAAGTCCTTCGTTTATGGAACACCCCGATCAAGGGGTGGGCGAAGGTCGTTTGTTTTCGGTACACTCTAAAAGGTGGGCATGTGGTCGACAACGTCCACGCCTCCGGGCTGGACGACCACAATGTTTTAAGAACATCCCTTAGGGTGGGCAAGTGACAAGACCAAAGTCCTTCGTTTATGGGACACCCCGATCAAGGGGTGGGCGAAGGTCGCTTGTTTTCGGTACACTCTAAGGGGTGGGCATGTGGCCGACAACGTCCACGCCTCCGGACTGGACGACCACAATGTTTTCGGAACATCCTCTAGGGTGGGCAAGTGACAAGACCA